TCAAAAGTTTCGAATGGGACAGCAAAATATACCGCCATCTTAGACTTGCCAAGAACATATGCTGCTTCTTTGGTTTTGCGCAATTCTTCCGCTTTTTCAGACGCTTTCTTCAGCCAACCTGGAAGCATAATTTCACAGCATTAATAGCGACAGATGTCAATTATCCAAATTTCAAAGTAATGAAAGTTGAAGAGAGTATCCCTGAGCAGCTGCATGAAAAATTATAATTATTATTATGATTATTTCAATATGGATTTTATTTAACCAGGCGGAATCTGAATTTCTGTCGGTTTCTGCTCCAAGACAGAGTTTGCTTTACCGAATACTGTAAATGAAAAATTATAACGTAATTCTCAAATTTTGAGTGTTCAGTTCTATTTGATACTCGCAAAGGTAAACTCGCGCCTTGGAAAGTAATGGTATCGTGAATCTTGAGTTTTAAAAAAATCAAGAACGTGAACAGTTGTTTTTGTGTGTGCAGTGAATCAAGAAATACATATATTTCGAATGTATCACACTCAGATCCGCCATCGGACATACTGTATCATTTTATTAATTTTACAATGCAGTAAAGGACGAAGGTTCAAGAAAAGCGTGAAGTTTCGAAGAGGAGAAAGTTTTAGAATTCCTCACAAAAAGAGGAAAATTGACACTTACTGTGGAATATCGGCTTCAGCTCAGGAGATTCCTCTAATCCGCCTTGAAGATCACGAATTTCTTTGATCACTTGTTCAACTTCGGATTCCAAGGTTTCCAGTGGAATTCTGAACAAAAGGGGTTAAAAATAAAAACTTGATCACACCCGGAAGAAGTTTTCGTGACCAATTTCTCAATGGAAATGATGCAGGATTCCAGCAGAGAAACAGGGGAGAGCTTATTCGGAGTTGAAAGAAATAAATAAGCAAAATAAAAATCGAAATTTCTTCTTACTTCAACACTTCGTTAAGAACTTCCAGATCGTTTGGAAAACTCAGCAATCCTGGGTCCCGTCTTTGGACCTCGGACACAATGTAATGAAGAAGCGTTATTCTTCCAGAATTCGCCTTGATTTCAGTCAATTTCGGCAGCGAGCTCAGTTTGAATCCAGCGGCATTTCCTGCATAACTTCCCTTGAGAAAAAATATATGGGATCTTACACGAAACAATTAATGAAAATCCATGATGAAATCTCACCGAATTCATGTAGTTACCGGTTTCGAGAATCAGCAACAGAAATTGCGTGAGTTTCTTGGCATCAAGAACTGCTTTACAGGCTTTTTCGACCGTTTCCAATTGGGATTTCAGTCTACTCCAGTCCTCCTCAAACTTGCATCTCTGCGGATCATTTCATGAGGATTAATTCACCCGATTTGAATGGATTTTCAAGATTTAAAAAGAACCGTTTTCAGGGCGTCAAGTCGCAGTCGAAACGACGGCATTTCACTGATCGACAGCAGGAAATTCTCAGCTACTCCGAGTATCTCTTTCTGACCCGTAAATGCTTTCAGCATTTCGATCTTGACAAAAAAAAAGAATTTAAACTTTTTGATCTAAAATTACTTGAATCAAATCGTCATTTACCTCAGCAGAATCCGGCAAAAAGGTTGCCAATTTCTGGAAATGCTCAGTTTGCAGGTGAACAACGTCACACGATGAAATCTCTTCCAGCAATTTTGACGGCGGAACCTTGAACTGCCTCAAAAAAATGTTGACTGCCAGGCTTTTCTTCGAATCCAACAGTTCGATCTTTGAAGAATGACCAGATCAACTGGTTTAGGAAAACCAGATGCGTAGAAAAATTGTCAATTTGAGTTATTACGGAACCTTAGAATTTTCCTGGGAATTCATCGCAGCAATTCCTTGCTTTCTTCCGGGACTTGATTTCGCCAGTGTCCCAGTTTGTCTGCTTGAGGACTCAGTGCCAGAGACGAACTGTTCCTTGGTGAATAATTTCTCCAGCTTTTCCATATCAATTGTCACGTTGCGCGGATTATTCCATAAACAACCATCGACTGCATTTCCATGATGAAAAATGAGTAATTCATTGACATATTCTCCAGTAAATT